TTCATTCATTCATTCATGGGTGTTCTGTCCTAGGACAGGTCCGTGGAAAGCAGTCAAATTATAGAATTCTCCTTCTCCAACATTCTCTATTTCGGGCTTCCTCTTTTATTTCTTTATAAGTTTTGCCTAGTAAAACATCATCTATCAATACTTTTCTTTTTCTTCCTCTTTGTTTCCTTGCATCAATTTTTCCTTCTAATGCCACTCGCATTAATCCTTCTCCTCGCAATATATGACCTAGCCAGTTATTTTTTCTTCTTTGTATTGTTTTTAAAAGAGATCTCTGTTCCTGGACCAAATTTAAAACATCTTCATTCTTAACCTTCTCTGTCCACTTGATTTTCTCCATTCTTCGCCATAACCACATTTCATATGCTTCAAGGTAGTTTGTTTCCTTTTTCCTTAAGGTCCAAGTCTCTGCTCCATATAAAGCTGTGCTCCAGGAAAAGCATTTTATTAACTTCTTTTTAAGTGTTTGGTTCATTTTTCCAATAAGAAGGTTCTTCTTCTTATAAAAAGCCATTTTTCCAGCCCTGATTCGTTCTTTGCTTTCTTTTTCACATCTGCCATCTCCCTGAATAATGCTGCCAAGATACTTAAAATGTTGAACTTGCTCTATTTTGTTTCCATCAATTAGGATTTTCAAATCTTTGCTAATTAGCCTTCCAACTTTCATCACTTTTGTTTTAGCTATGTAAATTTTCATTCCAAATTTTTTGCAAGTTTTGTTGAGTTTATTACCAAGTTTTAAATTTACAGAACCAATCATAGATTGTAGACTTGGCAACAATATCATTGCAAACAATTGCACGTTATGGTGATGAGATTCAGCTGGTTTTATACAGATTAATAATTGTAAAGTCCACATGTGTGCATGAGAAACTTCCTGATGCCATCTGTAGGAGAACAATTTGGAATATTTTAGTCTAGAAAATTTCATAAACTTTTGCATAAAGCCCATAGTATATTTAGTAGTACTATAAACCAAATCTACAGAATATAAAAAACTTTTTATTTTAAAAACATTTTATTGATAATCTAATATGTTACACTTTGATGATGTATAAATCCTCATAATTTTGACTACTGGTAATAATGTAATTTCTTCAAAATTGTTAGATTTACATTTTAGTCTTTACTATTTAAGTTTTTTGATGATATCATGTGTTTTGTAATGTCATATATTTTGAATTACATGTAGTTTTTAAATATTCTCATTGCATAGTTTAGAAGATCATTCAATAAATTGGGTTTATTGCTCTTTATTATTTAAATTGAGATAAAATTGATATGAATTAATTACAGTAATACCCCAAACTTATGCGTTAGGTGGGACCGGGCAATAACCACGTAAGTCGAATTCATGTAAATCGGGGTATAATTTCTCAATGTGTGTAAAATCCAAGTCGGATGTATGTAAGCTAATAAATGTTCTCATTAATCTTATCTCATCTTTTGATTCGTTCATTGTTACAAGAAATCACCACATAGAGTCTCTCGAGTCTCCGTAGATATAACAAACACAGAAATAAATAACATAAAATAAATTGTAGCTATGTGTTGAGTCTGCGAGATACATCCGAACATGTAAGCTGAACAATAGTGTGGAGAGAATGAGTAATCAAGAGTTGCGTGGTGCTCAAACAAAAGACGAATCGAGGAGATTTGAAAATTGCGTAACTCCGGGTTCGCATAAGTCGAGGTATCACTGTATATAAATTAAAAAATATATAAAAGGATAATTTTTAATAAATTAATAGAATTCTAAATAAAAAAATTTGTAAAATAATATTAGATTTTGCTAATTAACTATTAAAATTTATACTTATGAAAAATTTGGTCAATTTTGTATAGAGATGGGCAAATGCCGTCCTGAATGCTTGAATACTAGAAAGTATTTGTATGCGATCTTTGAATATCCTGTTAATAAAAAATATAATACCACAAATATCTCTAACATCACACAATATATACAGATAATACCTTATCAACAGGTTGCCAGATAGTCAATCATCCACAAATTATGAAATTTTATTGAAAAATTTCAATTTTGTAATATCAGTATTACAGATAGTTTTATGAATACAGTAATACCCCGAACTTACGCGATAGATGGGACCGAGCGATAACCGCATAAGTTGGGGTATAATTTCCCAATTTATGTAAAATCCAAGTCAGATGTATGTAAGCTAATAAATGTTCTTGTTAATCTTATCTCGTCTTTTGATTTGTTTACGGTTACAAGAAATCACCACATAGAGTCTCTCAAGTCTCCGTAGATATAACAAACACAGAAATAAATAACACAAAATAAATTGTAGTTATGTGTGAATTTCGCGCGACACGTTCGAACATGTAAGCTGAACAATAGTGTGGGGGGAGTGAGTAATCAAGAGTTGCATGGTGCTCAAACAAAAGACGAATTGATGAGATTTGAAAATCGCGTAAGTCGGGGTAGTGTATGTCGAGGTATTACTGTATTTTCAATTTTCATAAGTTTTTTTCAAAGAGTTATTTATTCAATTTTCATATAATGACAATATTTCATAATTTAGTTAAATGTCATTATAATAAATACTAGTATTGTGAAATTATTGAAAACAAATTTATCTTCAATCTTCTGCCAGTTTACTACATACAAAAATGTTTTGGTTTAATGAATAGTGAGGTTGAGACAGAAGTTTTAAATGTGAAAATGTGTATGTTGGACAAGCAGTGCCACTTTCCTGTAAGCCTAGAAGTTTGACAATGGTGTTTGGATAGTCAGTGGAATCATGCTCGACATTACAAACACCATTGTCAAACTTCTAGGCTTACAGGAAAGCTGCACTGAACATCTGGTGTACACGTTTTCGCGTTTAAAACTTCGGCCTCAACCTCGCTAATATCAATATAATGAAAATTTCAGTTTAACATAAAATGTTACAAAGAAAATGGTTTTTACAAAGAAAATGGTCATCATCTCAAAATTTGTAAATGCTGAAGTTAGTATCCATTGAACAACAAAATGTTGATAGAATATTTCTCTAGTCACATGAATTTGTCTTATGGTTGATTTAATTTATAGTGTACCGTTATTATTGTATAATTATGGTAGCCTAAACTGTAGTCTTGACTTAATTTCAACTTCATCTTCCACAATATTAGATTATTATTTTGGGTTCAGTCAGTATGATGTGAAGTCTATCCATTTTTTTATAAAAATAAAAAGATGTGTCAGTATATTGCAGTGTTGTAACACAGTCCATAGCACAGGTATTTATGGAAAATATTTTGATATACAAACATTATAATTGAAAATTAGATTTTTTCAGCAGTAAATAATTACATATGCTCTCCAGATCAGTGCTGTTACATCTACTGCTTGTTTACAACAATGCTTCTGATAAACTTTCAGTTACAAATACAGATGGTCATATAGTTCAGATGACGATGGCAACCTGATGCTCAAGGAACCAAGACTCCAGTTTGGGTTAGTTCAGAATTTTTTACAGATAGGTTGGCCTGGATATGTCGAGTCCTATGCTGCAGTAGTTGGTCAGTGTATTATGATCTTGGTTAAACCTTTGTTGGACATGACTAAAGATTCTCATAACATTCAAAAGGCAGAGTAAAAAACTTTTTGGTTCACTATGCATTATTATATAATTTTAGAATGGTGAAGCTTGCTCTGAATAATGGTACTAGAAAAATCGATTTTGAAGATTCCGTGTTCTCAATATGAGGTTTTTTATTACTCTGGTATTTTCAGTATATTTCAATGCAATATTTTACATTATTGGATTAATTTTAGTGATCTACAAAATTTTATTTTATTGACATTTTGCTGTACATTGTAGGGACAGAACTAATCCAGAAAAAGGAGACTTGTTTAGTGATGATAGAAAAAATGAAAAAGTTGTACTGTAATTAATGCAAGATTACAAAGTATGAAGCAGTAAAAGTTCATGGTATATAAACTTTTATGTATTTTATTTTTTCCACATTATTAACTAACTAGTTAGCTTTTATTGATAACTTTTTAACTGTTGTACAAATCTTGTTGACTAAGTATAAAATATCATAATTTCATATGGATAACCTGTAACAATGTATAATCCATGTAAACAGTATCTTGCAAAAAAAACTGTTGGAATGGAAATAAAACTTTCAGAAACCTTCACTTAACCCATCTCATCTCTGGAGCAGACATTAAGAACATCTCTATATATGCATCTCTGGAGCAGACATTAAGAACATAATGTTATTAATCCAAATGCCTTTTTTCCTTATTTTATACAATTTTACTTAGGTGAAATACCAGATGAAAAATAAAGATTGTTTTTTCTGAATAAGAATTCCTCTGTTTGCAAAAAATCAGAACACCACTATAATAAGTCCTTAGTAGACAATAATATAATAAAATAGCATGATGTTATCATTTCAAACATTAAAATCTTTTTCTATTTCACTTTACTGTAGATGTAATTATAAAATAAGTGAAATGAAGAAAAAAATACTGGAAATAACCTCTCTAAACTTCATCTGTTGAAGATACAAATGCCTGTTAAACATCAAAAAAATTTTTATCATCATATTATTTTATTTCTGTGTTATATATTTTTCAAATAATATGAAAAAATGTTGAAATAAACTCAGAAAAAAATTAAATAGAAAATAATTTTAATGTGGCTAATATCTAATATAAATTTGAGAGTCAACTGTTCAACTCTTTGCTGTAGACAATTCTTAGTTCAGATATATACATTTATTAAGAATAAGTGAAAACAGAATGTGAAAAATGACCTATTTTCTGATGGCAAATTTGATTCTCGCTGATTTTACAAAAGGAAGTGAAATGAACAGTCATATCTGAACAATAGCAAGTGTCATTAAAACATGATAATGGCTGATAATAGCAATTTTTACTTTTCCAGCTCTTGTTATATATAACAGAGGTAAAGTATGTAATCAGTCAAAAATTGACCTCCAAGATTTTTACATTTTTGGACTCAAGACCTTGAAATGTTGAAAAAAAAAATTCAAAGGTTTTCTTCTATATGTATGTTTTGAAGCTTAATAACTCCTGTGTTTTTGTCAAAAATTTCTGAAATTTCACAGAGAGGTTTGTTTATTAGAGGAATTGATGCTATTAAATTTTGGTGGTTAAAGGTTGTGGGGTGGGGGAGATAAAAAGAATTGTGTGTCATAACTTGAGTAGGGATGGGCTTAAGGACAATTTTACTTATTAGCATTAATAATTTTTATTATTATAAAACCCACATCACCAGCATAGCTCTATTGTTAATAGGAAAAGTATGGTGTACAGGGGCAAGACACTACTAAAATAGAGAGCATATATTTTAAATTAAATTAAAAATATAATTAAAAATTGCAGCTTGGTATTGTNAAAATACTATAAGTATACTTATATTGAGTTGAAATAGATTTAAATGCAATACTCACTTCTATCTTCTGAAAGTCTAAATGTGAACTATGTCTCTTTGATATACAGTCGACCCCCCCATAACACTGTTGATAATTTCGTTTTATATGAATTCCATGTTGTATGAGTCACTTAGATTTTACAAATATGTGTGCTGGGCTGTGAACAGCTCACATATTTGTAAAATCTAAGTAACTCATACAACATGGAATTCATATAAAATGGAATTATCAACAGTGTTATAGGGGGTTGACAGTACTTGAAACTTTTGTTGATTATTGTTGTAGAAACATCAATAAAAGAGAGAATTTAAAACTAGTAAGATTGATTAGTGTGGATAATTTTCTTATAACATGATAATTTAAAGAGTTTAATTAATTAATGATATTTTAATATTATCTAGATCTTATTAAAATTTAATTTATTAGCACATAAGAAAACAAATAGAATTATAAATCTGATTTAATTAATACATACTTTGTTCTGTTGTAACAATTATGAAAAATGTGAAAAGTTTTGATTTTCGCATATTAATATCTTAGAGATCTTTTTTTTTCCTATTAGGAATTATTTTTCTTGTTGACATTACAGCAGATACCTCTGAAGTATATTGTGCTAACTGTAGAAAAAAAGGCTTACAAAAATTTAAATAAATACATTTTATTTTGTTTAAATAAAGGAAAGTTAATGTAAAATGTAGGAACAACAAGCAATCTACCAAAAAATTTAATGATTGAGTAAAAATTGTTAGGTTGTTTTAAATCAGAAAAATTTTATTCAATCAAAACTATTCCAATTCTTAAAGTAACTGCTTCAGTAGTAAACCACTTAATCATCTACACACTATCTTGTGCAACAGCAAAATTGATTTATTAAACTGGAAAAAAATGAACATTTTCAATCATATTTAATTATCTTCATTAAGTTGATGTTTTAAAAATCAAAACAGAAAAAGAACAAAATATATTTTTTTGAACTTTTTCCTTTAGTACAAGTAATTGAAAATTTCAAGATTCGAAACATCAACCTGATGAAGGTTATTAAATATGTTTGAAAACGTTAGTTTTTTTTTAGTTTAATAAACTATGTTTGCTGCTACACAAGATTGTGTGTAGATATTTGAGCAGAACTGCTTCAGTTATGTATGGTAGTTCCTTCTTCTGATTACCATTAATGTAATTTAATTAGGTAAAAACAGATCATGCAAATTTTGTAACACCTTTGATAGTTTTGCAGATTTTATAATTGCAAATCACTTTAAAAAATTGTTGATTTAATTTCTGATATCAATTTTAAGTAATTACTAATTAAGGTGTACATTTTAAACATTTGTAGTTATATTAATTATATAAATAATTTTTTATAAGATGATAGTATTGTTACTTCAGATAGCTATTTAAAGTCAGTTTAGCAGAGTGTAGTTTGTGTGACAAAATGAGATTTATGAAGGAAGAGAGATGCAAAATGGTTCAGCTTTACTTTCGTGGATGCAGCACAAGGGATATTGTTATCTGGTTTCGTGCATTGTACCCTTATTGGTCCCATTCCCAATACATAGCTGTTCCAAGAACAGTAAAAAATTTTGTTGTACTCATGGTTTGGCTGGTGTGGCAGGGAGGCCTAGGATATGTATGACAGAAAGCATAGCTATGGACATCTTAGCTGCATTCTTAGCAATTCTGACTATTTCCCATTCACTGTTTAGCTCTGGAAGTGGGAATTCGGTCAACCTCTGTACATACAATCCTCATAAGTACTTAAATGGATAATAAAAGAACTTTATGATATCAAGAGCTTTTTCTCAAGACTACAGTGCAGAGGTTAAGTTTTTTTGTGCATTCAGAAATTTTTATGAATCTTGGCAATGCTGATCTTACCATTCCCAGGTGAATCTGCTTCACAGATAAAACATACTTTTACATTTATGGCAACATAAACTCTGCTAATGCATGCTACTCAGTGCAGGAGAATCTTCATCACTAGGAGTGAAACACTCAATATATCCAGAGTGTATTTTGCATCTAGAGTGTTAATATTTGGGCTGGATTACTGACCAAAGGGCACTTGAGCCATTTTTTATTGATAATGTCTTTACTCCCAAAAGTTTTAATACTTGGGGCTCTTGATAGAGCATGTTGGGTCACTACTCAAAAATCTAGATCTCAAAAATTCCATTTTCTACTAACACCTGTCCATTGGAGTGTTTAAGTTAGAGAATGATTGAATGCCACATTTTCATGCTTATGGATTGATCAAAGAGGTCTATGGTCTATATCTATAGTCTCCTCACTCTCCTGATTTGATACCATTAATTTCTTTTATTAAGGCTAAGAAATGTTTTCTGAACAGCAGTTGCAAATGTTGCAGAATTATGACAGCACATAATTGACACTTCTGTGCAGATAATGGCAGATCAGCTTATGATGGTAAGAAAGAAAATATGGCTCATCTTGCATACTGTCAGGTGGAACAGGTTACCCATTTTGAGCAAACATTTAGTGAAATAAAATGTCCTTGTAAATAGCTTCATTTTTATTGGATTTTAGAAGAGTTTCTTTTTCTTCATTTCAACAAAATAGCATCAAGTAAAATATAATTATTTATATATTTTATAAGCCTGTGTTTTTTCTATGGTTAGTGAAAAATTCTTCGGATGCATCTGCCATACAATCTCTATGATAATACTAGTATAATTTAGTAAAAAATAATAATAAATACATCAAAAAATCAGCAAAAAAGTTAATACAGTGGAACCTCGGTATACGACCTTAATCTGTTCCCGATGTTTGGACTTATACTGAATTGGACGTATACCAAACCAACCTTTCCCATAAGAAGTAATGTAAAAATGATTAATCCGTTCTCGTGTAAAAAAATGGCTGGCTTTAAACACCTCGCTTTCCTGGCTAGTTCCTGCTTGATTTTTCATGAGATCAGCNTAAAATTTGAATTGTTTTACCAATAGTTGAATTTTATATTTTCTGAATTATTATTATTTTTATTGCATAATTTTTGTTGTAAAAAATATTGAATTTTCTCAGTTTCCTAATTTTTTTATAACAAAAAATTGATAAAAAGTCAATGATTTTTATCAGTACAGTCAAACCTTGGTTTACGAACTTAATTTGTTTCTAAAAGTTGTTTGAAAACTGATTTGTTCTCATACTGACAAATTTTTCCATAAGAAACAATGTAAAATGGATTAATGTGTTTTCAACCCCCAAAACAAACCTTATTTTACCTTTTTCAGCTGTATTAAAAATAAAAATACCTAAAAATGCAACGTAATATTATATTATAACATACCAACTGAATAACGAATAATGTTGATAATTAGAAAGACAATTATTTCATTCATCCTTATCCATGCTGAGAATTTGTGATGGTGCAAGTGTAGGGTGGACAGAAGGTGGAAGGGAAGGGATGTTATTTCTTGGAATGCAAGTTTTCCTCCATAATAATTTGATTTAAATTGAATTATGATGCATACTGAAAATTGAAAGTAGTATCTTACTTGCTTATGCA